TGATCTCATAAGCCTCTCCGTAATTATCCTTCACTCACATCATTAGAGAAATGCCCTTCAGTGCCCACTAACAACCACTCTTTATGGCACCGCTGCAGTTTCCTTTGCTGCGCAGGGGCACTGCAATAATGTTTTGTTTATTTACCCAGGGAAGCCCAAGGGAGCCATGATCACCCACGGCAACATCGCCTCCAACACTTCCTCTGTCATTAAGATCCTGGAGGTCTGTCTACACTTCCACCTCGTTGTCTAATTGAGAACAGCCTCACAGCTACCGTCGCTTCCCATTTGCTTGTGTCTGCATGTCTCCAAACTGTCCCCCTCCCCGCTGTGTCTAATGGTATGATTAATTGGGTGTTTGATTGCTCCTGTCGCTGCGAGGTACTTTAACTAATTGCCCCTGTATAAAGATTCTGCCATACAACATGTTTGATTGCCTGCGAGGCTTCGCCGTATGCCGCTGCCTCAACCTAATCTGTCCCCTGTGCTGTTTTTGCTCATTTCATTTCTCGTTTTTCTCTCAGGGCTCGTTTGAGATCCAGCAAGACGACGTGTCGATCTCTTACCTGCCGCTTGCCCACATGTTTGAGAGAATGATTCAGGTAGTTGATCCTCTTCTCACATGCTTTTCTGTCTTTCTTTCCTACTTTTTTGTGCATGAACCCTAAATTAAATCAGTTTCTATTGCAGGTCTCTATGTTCTGCTACGGGGCCCGAGTAGGATTTTACCAGGGGGACATTTCTCTTCTTATGGATGACATTAAAACTCTGAAGCCTACCTTCTTTCCCGTCGTGCCTCGTTTACTCAATCGCATCTATGACAAGGTCAGCAAACGCATTACCCGCTCCTCATTTTCTTTTACAAGGTGCAAAGTGCAGCAGATCCACCCGTTAGTAAAAATCATGCACCAGTATAGCTCACTGGCATCAGCAGGCAGCCCGTGTGCCGTAAGGCCATTGCATGGGCCTGGGTTTAATCCGTCATGAGGCTATTTTCTGCCTGCCTTCCCACTGTCCTCTCTCCACTGTTGTATTGCAATAAAACTGAAAAGCAAAAAAACCCCATAAAATAGACTGATTTAAATCTAGATTGATCTTCCTTTTAAGGTAACGTTCTCGTGCACGTCCTCCAGTGTGACTTGCTCTTTTTTTTTTTTTTTTTAGATCGCTCCTTGGTGTGGTTAGAAGTCCCGTTAAACCCACAACACTTGCGTGCTCAGTGATGTCAGCACATACCTCAAATTTGCGCAGAGAATTCACCTTAGTTCTGTTTTATTTATATAGCACAATAGATGTCACGTCAAAGCCCTTTTTAGTTTAAGGCAAAGGCCCTACGACAGAAATACTAAGACTGAGCACTTTGCATAAGTAACAAGGGGAAAACGCTCCGAACAGGACTTCTGCTGACTTATCTAAAAATAGCCAATCCAATATTTTTAACCTTGTATTAAGAAGGCGGCCATAATCCTGGGTGTGTTTCTGTTTTTTTTGTACATTCTTGCCAATTTTTTACATAGATCCTGGGTTCGGTGACCTCACCGTTTCGAAGAGCTCTGCTCAACTACGCTGTGAAAAGAAAGCAGGCGGAGCTCAGCAGCGGGGTTGTACGTAACAACAGCCTGTGGGACAAACTGGTGTTCAACAAGATCCAGGTCAGTGGCTGACAGTGTGGATCATATACTTTCTCAGCCTGTTGCTGCTGTTTACATTCATATGTAGGTTACTGATCCATATGCTTGGCTCTGCAGTGGCCTCCTCTGAAATCAGCCCACAGAACATCTTTTCTTCTCTAAACTTCACTATTAAGTGCCATATTTTCTGAAAATCCCTGACTTTGCAGTTGTCCTCGTCTGTGTTTTGTAGCACTTAACACGGTGGTACATGTAGACAAGCAGCCCTGCAAATAATCAACAAATTTGTATCCAAACTTTACAAGAGAGGCACAACTATTCCAGCAATCGGTGCCAAAATCACCCGGAGCATATTGGCCCTGTGGGAGTGTATTGGAGAAGCACGCGTGCAGGCAAACAAGGACTGAAAGATTTTGGCTTGGTGTGATCAATACAGATGGGAAAATATGACCAAGGTTGAATATGATTTAAAATGGGAATGAGCTCACATCCACAATATGATTGTGTTTGAACTGTTTTGCATAAATGCTTCACCGTAGGAACTCTTATTTTTTTTTTTTTCAGGAGAGTTTAGGGGGTAATCTGAGGTTTGCATTGACCGCTTCGGCACCGATCTCCCCAGCAGTGCTGTCCTTCCTCAGAGCCACTCTGGGGTGTCTGATATTTGAGGGTTACGGACAGACTGAGTGCACAGCGGGCTGCACGTTCTCTATGCCAGGGGACTGTAGCACAGGTAGGAAACGCTCTTCTACTGTCAGGTGCTCAGGATGGATGCTGTTGTGGTTTCTCCTGTTAACAGCAGGCGTATGTTTGTGTCAGGTCATGTTGGTGCTCCTTTGCCCTGCGCCATGGTGAAGGTGGTGGACATCCCAGAGATGAATTACTATGCCAAGAACGGAGCGGGAGAGGTCAGCCACGCAAAGATATGAACACACTTTTACCTATCAGCGGATGCTGTGTGGTGACTTCTCAATGCTTTGTCCCGTTAAGATTTGTATTCGCGGCCCCAGCGTGTTCAGAGGCTACCTGAGGGATCCAGAGAAGACGGCTGAAGCCCTGGACAGCGACGGCTGGCTGCACAGCGGGGACGTGGGCCAGTGGCTTCCAGTAAGATTAGACACACTAACTAGCCTGTATGAGTCAAGTGAGTTTGTGTTACCACACTTGTTTTTGTCAGAATGGGACCCTGCGCATCATTGATAGAAAAAAGCACATCTTCAAGCTGGCACAAGGAGAATACATCGCTCCGGAGAAGATAGAAAACGTCTACATGCGTTGTGTCCCTGTACTCCAGGTGTTTGTGCATGGAGACAGTTTACAGGTACGGCACATTTTAGCTTTCTTATCCAAAGCGAAGTGTTCTCAGAGGCACGGTTCGATGTTTAATTTTGTCTTGCATTTCTTATCAGTCTTATTTAATAGGGATAGTTGTCCCTGACCCAGAGGTGTTTGTTGACTGGGCCAAGGATCGGGGATTTGTGGGGTCCTACGAGGAGCTGTGCCAAAATCCTGTAGGCCTAATACCTAATTCTAGAATATAACTTTCATCTGATTAAAGTCCTCACAGCAGGATTAAATGGAAACTGGTTCTGTCTTCAACAGGATGTTAAGAAGGCAGTTTTAGAGGACATGAACGCCGTGGGGAGGGAAGCACGGCTGAATTCGTTTGAACAAGTGAGCAAACTCATCGAGGTTCAAACGCACAAGTTACAAAGTGGCTGAACTTAACTGATTTCGATGCTTCACCTTTCTGTCTCAGGTGAAGGACCTTTACCTGCATCCAGAGATGTTTAGTGTCGCCAACGGCCTTCTCACGCCCACCCTGAAAAGCAGGCGCGCAGACATCCGCAGACACTTTCAGGAACAGATTTCAAGCATGTACAGCAAGAAGGCATACTAACTCGACTCAGTAACTCGCAGACCTGTGGGTCAGGGGTGTCCAATAAAGGAACAAAAACGGGACCTAGGAGTGAATATCCTGCAGTGCCTCATCTCAAACCCTACATTTCGTTATATCTGGAATATTATTTTGTTTTCCAGAAATTTGTCATCCACCTGTGACCACATCTCACTCTTAATTCCAAACAAGGAAATTAAGTGAGTGGATCCATATTTGCCTTCCAGTCATTGTCACTAATGAGATTTTACATGGACATTATCATTGTTTAGTTGCATAGAGGAGAAGCACGGACGATATTAGGAAGAACTGATATTAACTTTGATCCTTTTATTTACACTGCACTGTTGCTTTCCCAAGCAAAGATTTTGAAAGGGACTCTTTATGTGCACTTATGGCATTGTTCCTCCTAGACGTTGCATTAACTGTAGGTTCGTATTTTATGGTTGTTGGGTCTTTGCATCACTGTCAAATAAGCTTCTGATGAATATGTTTCATCTTAGTGACTACTTCAAACCACTGACTTCACCTCAAGTTAAACAATTAATATGAATGAGCGGTGAATGGGGGGGAAAAATGATTTGTAAACAGGAATTTACTAATGCCAGTAAATAAAGATTAGTAATTGACGTGTTTGCATCATTCAGTTCATAAAAACTCAGGCATGTGCAGAAGCACACGCCCACAAATCAACTCAAGACAACAGCAAAATAGTCACTGGTTGCTTTTCTTGCATTTAGTTTATTGCATGATGATAATAATGAAGCAGAAAATATCATCTGACGTTATTTAAAAACTTACATAAAACCCAATCTGATCACAAAGTATTCATTTTGGTATATTTAAAAAAAAAAAAAAAAAAAAAATCAACCATGACTATAACTTAAACTTAGAAAAGCACCTTCATTCATCCAGTTATTGGCGTGTAATCAGACAGTCTGCATTGCAGAACACAAAGACGAGCAACCGGCTAAGCATTTCCTTCAGTAATGACACAATAAAAAGCCACAAAAAAAATAAATAGTCAACATACTTGTAACTTCAAATTCACTAATGAGTAACATTCAGTGTGTGTTTACATTACTATGTAGTGTAGTTATCATGCCAAGGCTCTACCTGATGGAAAGTGGAAACAAAGGCATGTGATGAGAGCATGATTTGGTCCAAAAATAAGACTATAAAACATTTGTCTTCCAACCCTGATGTAGAGGATACAGAGAAAAATACTTTTTTAAGGCTGCCAACAATGTGTGAGATTCTTTGCTAACACACACTCTAACCAACAATAGAACAAAGGATGGATGGTGTGAACAAAAGGAAAATATGGGTCACTTTATTTCCACTAGAGGGCGCACCAGCCTTTGATTTTTTTTCTTTCTTACTTGTGGGGTTTAAAAAGAAAACAAACCTGGATATGTCTGAAGCCTGAGTAGTCGACCTTTCAACACCACTCCGTGTTACACCGTTTTTTAAATTTTTTTTTATGTTATATCCAAAGTCAGACATGTTATCACAGGTGAGCTAATGTGTTCTGATGAACCCCAATAAAAAGCCCTCACACAGAATGGCACAGAGCTAAACTCAGATTACCAGAAAAGACCAAAATTGAGATTTTTTTTAAACCTACACTACATTACATAACACCTTCCAGTGTAATTTCAAAGTTGGATAATAAAACTATATTTCACACGCTGCTGCCAACAAGGCAGATGTGACTAATAGAAACATTTCCTTGCTCACTTTACACATTAGAAACAAATGGTTATAGATACCTCTGAAACCATGAAGCGTAACCTTGTTAATTAGTTCTGACAAGATCTGTCTGATTCCTTTACTAAAAGAAAATAAAAATAAACGACAACATATTGGCTTATAATGTTGCACTTGGCTGATGGCTTAGTTAATGTGGCATTCAGCTGCTTTGAGTTGCTGAGATGATGAAAGATTAGGGTGTAGTGCAAGAGCAATTGGGGGTGGGGATGAGGCCGCAAGGAAACAAATGGATAATCAGGTTTAGGTCACTGCTGTCCGTTTGAACTCTGGAGGAGCTTGAAGAGAGTGCAATCCATTCAGAGAGGCATGAAAAGAGCCCGTTTTTGTATTTTCCTCACTCAGTCGTCGGCGACAATGGACAGAGCACGCAACTCGGTGAGCTTGGCCTCTGTCTCCCTCTCCCTCTGCTCATCAGTCAACCCTGCCTGGTCGATCTGGTCTGTTAACTCGCTGAAAATCTTGTACATTTCGGTGAAATAGACCACCTGGTGGGTAGAGAAGGAAAAATAAAAACGTAAGTCTGTGATGGCAGGGGAAAAGAATATCTGTCCTCTGATGAAAATGGGAACAGGTCGATCCACAGACCTCTCAGGAAACACCAGAATCCAAAATCTGAACAGCAAATACAGTCTAATCGTGTTTCTACTTACAAGTCTGAAGCTGCTGTTCTCATACTACTTCAACCCTGCTAATGAGAAGTGACTTGAGAGGAGAATGGGGAGCCCACAGATATCAAACAACTCTGACAAAGCCCCAAAACCCAGCACTTCAGTGGGTAGTGACCCTGCTTTTCTCTCCCAATCTGAACAAGAGATAGAGAGTGTTCACTGAAAGCTTTCTTGACACTTCCCACCCCTGCTTCTTCCCCTTAGTTCATGAGTCAGGCTCCCTAGAGAGTTGCTTTGATGATTAATAGACTTTAATCACATTACAAGACTCCAGAAGAGTGGGCAGAGAATGAAAGTACTGGGAAATACAACCCCTAGAAACCCACACACACACATCTCAATATTTATTCATGCAGCGATGCATACGATGCCATGCTCCTTAAGGGGGGGGACGACACCGACTTCTCTAAAATTGCACGTGTTCCCTTGCAACAAAACCAACTGAGAGACCCGTGGGAAAAGTTTACTGTTTCACTAAAAGGGTCACAACAGAACGAGAATTTTGCCATAAGCAGACCAGACACTGCTTCTAAACCACCTTATACAAGCCTTTTTAAGTGCTCCGCCTGAAAGACCTTTGCATGTTTATACCAATATGTGCCACCTAAACCACATGAGTGGGCTATAAGTATTGGGTTACTGCTGCTTGTGGGGGTAAAGCGGATATGTTTTTTTTCCCAAAAGTGGCTTGTTGAAAGGGCCATCGGAAATGTCCATATGAACTGTGATGATAATGTACACCAGATCAGTGTCTAGGCGCCCTCTGTAGCAAAGACTACCATTACAATTAGTCAAGTCACCACGAGGAGTAAACGCCGGCTCACGCAGCTGACCACCTACCCAAAAAAAAAAAGAAAAAAAAGAAGCAGCTTGGGGTAAAACAGAGCCATTTTAACATACCATACTCCCAGCTGCTTAATATTTACATGGAGAGGTCACACTTTGACCTTTGACAACAAAATGAATAATTTAAGTTGGATTCGATTCAGTAAACACAGCATCCACTGTAAGAGAAGCAACTAAAAAAAAAAAAAAAGATGAATAAATGAAGACAATGCCTCACTTCATCATCATCTGTAGAAACTGACAGGTCAGGTGGTGTCTCCCTCTGACAGTTGCTGGACAGGACTTGTTATAGTGAAACTGAAGCCGCACAACAAAGACTCCCTTTATTCTTTTTCTTTCTGCTGCTGGACGCTGAGCAGCAACAAGCGGTTGGGAGAAAAGGGTGTGGAGGACCAAATCAAGCACATGCAACAAGCACTGGGGACGAGGTCCGCTGACCACCCACACATGGCTGTGCAAATGTGAAAATGTTCATTCATGTGTGTGAATTATATGAATAAATATAAAGCTGCAAGAATGACATGGCTAGCGTGCCTAATGGGACCTCTTGCACCGGACAAAAACAGGTAAGATTTATTTAATACTTCAAGATAAAAGATGTGGGGAAATATTATATGTCTGCTAATTTGCTAAGTTCAAAGTGCATCACAGAACTCCATAATTGTCATTAGGTCTGGGATAATCTAGTTTACTTATTAGGATTGTGCCAGTGGCTGTCCCAAGGAGGAAATGACATGGCCAGGCAGGTCTGGGGTTAGTGAGGGGGACATAGTGGCGCTAACTTGAGACACCCAGCTGCTTTAAGAGAAGCTTCAGGTTAGAGGAAGGCTTGCAGGGCTGCAGTGGAGCCAGACAGATGAGGCCTTCCTCAGCTAAACACAGCAGCGTGGGCCGTCGCTGAGGGTTAATCACATTAGAGCAACGTTGAGGGAGACAGACTGCCTAGGTTATACACACCCTTCATCAGATATTTTATGCACTGTTTAACCGACGCTCAGAGAGTGGAGCAGTGGGTGGGTGGGAGGGAGGGTGGTTGTCTGCAGCTGTGAGAGGTTCGTTGGGTGTGCACTTAAAGGTGATGGAGGTCACTAACCTGTGCCCGGATGAGAGCCTCGAAGCTGGGCTGGAAGTAGTCGATGCGGCTTTGGTAGAACTTGGGCATCTCGTCCAGGAGCTGCTTGTTCTTGGCCTCGAAGTCATCTTTGACCGGTCGGAGTTCCTCTTTTGCCTGTGATGTCGGAGAGACAGAGCAAAACAAAAGAACTGGTCACTGAGGGTTCAGTTCTGACTTTGAGTTACATTCTTTCATTTCACTGCGATGCAATACACACTACACATTAAGGATTCGTTCGCTAAAATAAGCTTAAGGAGCTACAGATTAATACCTACAAAGCGAAACAAGTTAGTCTGAAGTGAATTCACTTCTTGAGCCATCATTTGTCTTCTTCTCTTATTGTTCTGAAAGATATTTGCTTAATTCCCACGGAGAAGCAGTGCAAAAAAAAGGCTGTAATCACGACCAAAGTGAGGAGGAGTGGGTAATGTGGGCAGACTTGGCTGTGAGTGGACTCCAGCACCACTGATCTGTGTGTGAATGTATTAGTGGGTAGTCTACTGTAGGCATGGAGTTATGGAATGCACAATGAATAAGTGTGAGAGGGTGAGAATTTTTATTAAGGGGAAGGGGGAGTTGCTATATTCAAACTGAAACATATTGTCTTTCAGCTGCATTATGATATGCTCTCTTCACTTTAGTTTTATTTACACATGCCAGCTGTAACTGAAATGGCGTGCAAGTGTTTTGTCAGGATCATTTCTTTAAGTGCACAGGGACTCAGAGGGCATGGATGTAGGGGCCTCTTCAAGGCTTTGTTCCCCTGACAGTGCTTTTCTCAATGTGTGTGGGTGGCTCACCATGTGAGGATGTGTTAGAAGCAATAGCATAGGCAACACTGCAGCACTATCTGTGAATGTGTGCTTCTGTAGTGGCCTCATGGTGTGTGCGTGTGTGTGTATATATGTGTATGTGTGTGTCTACAATTCTCAATTACGTGCCTGTAGATGTGCAGCAGTGCCTTTTTGAAAAGGCACTACTTGAGAGCCTGGTAGCTTGCGTGGGTGAAGGAGCGCACATGTACAGTATGCATGTGCTCAACTATTTTTGTTCATATCCAGTCAGCATTTGTGTCTTTTTCCACCTATTGTGCTCTATTCACAATACGGACAGCATGTAAGAGTAAGTGAACTCTGCTCCTGTGCAGTTGGAGGGAGAGCTCGAGTGGATCGACACGTGCGCCGACGCGAGCTTTAAAACTGACGCTACCTGATGCAGTTTGACCATCACGGGCCCCGTTTTTTCTTTCTCTTCGTATTTCTCCACTTTGGCTTGCAACCGCTTGTAGTCCTGCAGCGTCTGTTCCCTACGTTTCACTGCCATGTTAAGGCTGGGGAAGACACTACTGTACCTGGAAAAACACCAGCACACAGAAAACCAGGTTACTGAACACAACATGCATGCGCACCGTGTGAATGCATGCAACGAAAGAAAAAAAGATCCCAGACATACATATCAAACTTTCCTCTTTTTTTCCCTGAGAGAAAGTGAAGTTACTAAAAATACTGAAACAACTTTCCCGTCTCCATGTAATTTGTAGACATGCACTGTGCATTGCATCGTATCTTAATAAAAGTCATTATGATTTAATAAAATCCCGCTCCTCAACATCTTATTGTAGCGGTACTCTCAAACCCCAGAGGACAGCTCTGCATTAAGCTTCCTCTAATCTATTATCTAATTACTGTAGTTCAGAATGGCATGAAACAATTCATTTTGTGACAATTATCATATTCCAAATGAAAATATATTCTTGCAAAAAGAATCCAAGTCTTCAGCACTAAAAATAGGAAAACATTCATCTGTAACTTAGCAACAGGAATCGGAGCTTCATCCTGGGACTTGTTGCACTGGTTTTGTGTCTGTTTTTAATAGGGAACGGGAAAACTGTATACAGAACATGTCTAACCTAATAATAAAACTATAGAAATTTTCAAGTTAACATGTCTGAAAGTTAGACTGTAACATTAACATTATTTCTTTAAACTCAGGTTAGATCTGGCTAATGATTTATAACAAATGGTATAGCTTTAACCAAAATATTGAACGCCTGAATAAGAAATGGTACATTTTTCAACTTTCTAAAATGTAAACACAAAGCACTGACTTTGTTTTTCAAAAACAGGCCACAAGATTAGTCACGCAGGTGCATACCAGATGTGAGTCAGCAATAAAAACAATCGTAATAAAGAATTAGATATAGCCTTTTCTGAATGACTCATTTAAAGCAATTTATCAAGTGTGTAGGCACACTACTACAATACTTTATTGTGTGCGCCTCGGCCCATAGTGTTATTAGCCACAAAATGTGTGGGCTTCATGATTTACGTTCCTCTCCATGCCAACCCTTGCCCTGTTCTGTGTGGCGGATGAGAGAACCCGAGAGTTTGTTATGAAATCCTGGATTACAACTGCGTTTGCCCAACGTGCACCTTACTACAGGCCAGATGGGGGAGTGGTGCGAACTCCATGTCAGACAAGCAGAGATTGTTTCCGACAGGAAGTTAAGCAAGGAGTGGTCTTGTAGTGTTTCAGTGACATCAACGAGCTCAGCCCAACCCAGCAGCCCACACTCCACCGCTATTTATAAAATACCACTCTGGCCCAGTTTACGGCAGGGGTGGATGCCGATCCTCAAATCTACTATCTGCTCCAGTGTACGCATATTTGAAGTGCCAAGGGATTATGCAACTGCCCTCCAGGCATGACTGCTTTCCAATGCAGTCCTACGGGCTGATGACAACACAGCAGCAAACCAGCTTTCAGACAACACAAAGGCTGGATTCTAGTTCACCTGACAGCATGGTGCAATTTCCTCATGACACACCACGGTGGCCTGCTGTTTGCGTGCTAAAAGGGGACAACGCTGTCTGCAACTACTATGTTTGAGCACAGGGAGACTTCAGGGCCAATGCTATCCTTGTGCTGGAGGAGGAGAAAAAGAGCTAGACACAAAGCCAACTACTTGTTAACCCATTAGTGTCACTTCCACACTGAACGCTGAAGTTTCAGTGTTACATTCGGTTACTGTGACTCAACGGTACACTACCCTCCCCCACATGAGAACCTGAATGTGCTTATGCATACACTGTAATAACAGTTTTTGGTTTTTTTAAAGAAAAGAAATGTCCAGGCCCTGGATGTTTCCCTCGATATCCTGGCCTTGGTTGGATAACTACCGGTCAGCCTGCGAGGTCTGTACCTGCGGTGAGCCTAGTCTGGGTGATTTCTTAAGATGGTTGAGGGCTGCAAAGGGGCCAAGGATACACCACTGTCCACGTGACAGGTCAGGGTGTGGTTAAAAAAAAAAAAGGACTGGATGGAAATAGCATCTGGAGCAGAGAGTGTGTTTATGAGCCGAGGCCAATCCACATACAGGCCAGCCTGACCCAGCAGCCAAGCCCAAGTCTGGTCTAGACACCCTCAGTCTAGCAGGCTGGCCGTCACTTTTGACTATGACCATCACATAACTCACTACTGAAAAAAAGAAAAAAAAAATCAGTTTAAAACACACCACTAAAAATATGGGAAAGGGACCTGTTTATGTGTAAATTACCACCTTTGTTCGTCATGGTCTCAGAAGAAAAATTAGGGTCACATCACGTGGCACCTTCATTTAAAATATGCTTGGTGTGAAAGTGAAATAACTACCACCTGTTGCATAAATGGTTTAAAAGCAGTAGACCATGGGAATGTCTGTGACGTAAATGCTAGCAACATCTCCTTAGTCTCCAACAAAAAAAAAAAAAAAAAGCGTGCAAAGAAAGAGTGTGATCTGCTGTGACTTGCCTAGTGCTTTAAAGCCCACATAACTCACGCAGCCTCAGTGCGCGATACACCAAATAAGATGGTAAAAAAACAAACATCCTTTTTACAAAAAAACAATCCCCCTCTCAAAAAATAAAAATAAAAATAAAAAGCCTGCATCAGCCCCAGAGCTAAGGTCAACAACTCCCATTGGCTCCAAACCCCACAACCTGCTCTGAGGGCAGCGTGTTCCTCTGATTGAGAGGGATGAAGGTGGTTTGTCCAGTCCTGGCTCAACCCAGGGCAGAGGTCTCAAAACAGGCTTGACTTCTATTTCACCCAAAAGAGCAACGGAGCAAAAAGGGCTAGGTTACAAGGCCCAGATAACACACATGCCTCAATGCCCACGCACTCCCCTCCCCTCGCATAAACATAGTGATGTCATTCAGTGACCCCGCAGAGTGGATGAAACGCACGTCTGGGCCTGAGAGAGAGGAGACACTGAACGCAGGATGGGGGCAGAGTAGAGGGGGGCTGCTTTTTCGTTTGTTTATTGTGCGTTTTACCACACTAAGCATTAAGAATGGATGCCAAAATTTGAAATAGCAATCACATGGACACAATCATGTAGCTGACACACACACACATACAATCCATTGAAAGTCTTCCATTAACATAACGTTCTCCTTTTCAACTCTTCTCTAATTGTCTTTACAATGACACAAGTTCACCAGAAGAGTATTTTGAGACAAGAAAAACAGTTACAAATATTCATTAGTGAGAGGACTAATGGAATCTTAATGGAAGCTTTAAAGTATAGCAGCTTGTGCGTCTTGGTTTTCTATAGACAACACTTTGATAAACTAATAAGTAATAGCGTTGCGTTTTTAAGAAGGAAAAAGTAAACAGAAAGGTCAGTTTAGTTTGGCATTAAAATTTGTTTATGAACTCACTTCCTCTGTTCTGTTTTAGACTCATGTAAATGCCTAACTTTATGATCTTAAATACCATCTTTGTGAGACAGCGCCCCCTCTAAAATCGGAGCTGGTGTTTGTGTACGTGTGTATGTTTGTGTGAGAGCGTGCACTGTCCTGAGACATTTCTCCTCCTGAACCAATCCGCAGCTCTGGGCCCAGGAAGCTGGGCCCTTTGCCATATACTGAGCCTGCCCACACGTCCGCCTGCCGCCCACCAGGAAGAGGAAATTAGAACCATTCCATCCTGTCATTGCTCCGCCACCAGAGCGCACGAGGAAGAGAGGGGTTGACACACGCGCGCTCACACACACACACACACACACACACACACGCTGACCTGACCTATCCATATTTTGATGGAGTATTCTCTTCACATTAGTTACTTTACAAAACGAGTGTCTCACGAGGGGAGAAAGTTGAACACAAATTTATAGAAATCTATACAAGCAGTATGCACATGCTCTCTTTCACAGTATTTAATCTCCTGGGAGGAGCCAGGAGGAGGAAGAAAACCTTAACAAGCGCTCCGGAAGACGGGTGGGATTGTCCAGCCACTCCCTTCAGTACCTCTGCTTTGCGCGTGTGTGCGTGTGTGTGCAAAGTGAGGCTTAAGGAATGGAATAGCATTCACTGCCTCCTCAAATGGGGGCGAGTATTAGGAACGAAGACCAAATAAACTTTCTTCCAGACACTACCAGCACAGCAGCCCTGTTAACTCCCAGTTCATTTTTATAATGCGTATTACTACACTGGAGGCCTTCCTGAGGTCCTGCACTGCAGCTATTCTTTCCACTCAGTTAGTGAGATATGCAGAGCAAGGTTAAATAGTAAAAACGACACGGGGCACTGGGTTTTGATCGCTCCACAGTCACATATGGAATTTAAGACACAACTGAGCTAAATCGCTTTTACCATACTTCACACGAAAAGTTCACGATCTGGCTCTCCTAAAAATGCAAATATTGCAGACGAAAACTATTTGACCGCGGCCTGTTGCAGATTCAGATTTAAAGCTGGACATTTAACACAGAAGCAGCACAAGAAACTGACACTTACTTTTTCAGAGGGTCGACAACAGTCTTCTGGATCTGGTTCACCTGTAAAAGTAAATAAAATAAAAAGCTGTTAACACAAGCACTGCTCACCTTTCTAACAAATGAAGAGACATTACAAATTGTTATTCACTGTCAAATTGAGTTACATCAGAAGTGAAGTCGGAACCAAATAGCTTCTACATCTCTTGCTCATTAGCTGCAATGTAACGTCGCAGCACAAACACCAACAATTGTGTATATTTCAAACAGAGCACATATGAAAAAATGGGAAGGGGGGGGCTTGCAAAGAAACTTTCATGACGTTGACTCTTTTATTGTACACAAGCCCCGAGGAGAAACCCCTGAATATTCATTGAGCTTGCGATACAAAAGAATGGAACTGTCAGGGGACGGACATGAAAGCAAAGCCCAAATGATTTCCTGTGGAGGGTGGGCTGCCATACAAGATGAAAGTTCTTTACAAACAAACATTTTAACAATAACAGTTTATATTTTCCTGCATTCTCCTTCTGTTTGGCAGAACCGACAGGGGAAGGAAGGAGGGGAAGAGGG